TTATAACTGTAGAGCCTGATGATGAAGTTATTGAATACAATTGTTCGCTCAAATATTCTTCATTTTTGAATATCATACAATCATTTAGTCCAACTTGATCTTTATTTTCTAGTTGTTTTTCATCAGTAGTATTATCTCCTTGTATTTGAAGTTAGTCATCTATATAATAAATCATTATTATAAAATGCAAATTTGTTAATGTAGATGAAAAAAAAGTAATAATTCATTCCATAATGCTCTTTAAACTAGGATCAGACAATGTTATTGTGAAAAGTTTTTTTTCTTAGGTTACATAGCTCTATTTGACCGATTGTCTTAAAATGATGATAGATTGAATGATGAGTAACAATTATTTATGGAAATTCAGTTATTTTAAATGATTGAACGGTAAAACATGAAATAAATTGGTTAGTAAAAATATTTACATTGAACTAATGAATAACAAACAATAAAAATTAATACAATACATCATGATTTGCATTAAAAGAAAATAAATTTTAAACAAAATTGTTATTTACAGAAATTAGTATTCATCTATTCTCAGAAAGTGGTTTTTGTGAATATTATAGTAATTTGATAGTTGAATTCATGAGTCACTTGAAGCTTAACAACCATAGAAGAACTGGAAGCATTGGATGGCCGTTTCGTCCTAGTGTGAGACTCCTCAGCAGCACGCACCCATGATCCCGCCTCGTGAGATTTGAACCCTGGACCTATCGGTCTCGTGCGCGTGAACGTTTAACCTCTAGATCATTGAACCGGCATCCAGAGGTGTGAATGTCTAACTTCAACCAATCCACGAAATTGAGCCACCGTTCGCCACTGTCTTCACTGAGTTACTATCTTACAACAGACCCGATTGAACTCCACTGGTCACTGCTTCTTACTAGAACTCCAGGATATACATCTTGAATCCAGTCACTAGTGAGCATATGATGATTATTATTAGATGGGGGTTTTTGTGGATATTATAGTAATTTAATAGCTGAGATTATGAGTCAATTGAAGCTAAACCATCATGGAAAACCTGGAAGCACCGGATGGTTGTTTCGTCCAAATGTGGGACTCTTCATTCGTTATTCAAAATGATAACTCCATTAGATAAAATAATTGTGTGATAGTAATTTCAAATAAATCTCATTGTTTCTTCTATTTCAGGCTCTTGGATGTTCAGATGGTAAACATTTTATAATTCTTTTAAAAAGTCAATGTCAGTACAGTGGATTATATAATTATTTACCGATTATTGAAAAAGCGATTCGTATTAGTGGAACAGGACCGAGTAAAATTGAAAACAATATGGTTGATAAATACTATAAGTTAGTTGATTAGACAATAAATTTCTATAATTGTCCTATGGTTTATATTTGCATTTGATCACTTTTAAATGGTAATTGCATAATTCCACTTATTTGATCGTTTTTAGATACCAGTAAATTTCATGTGACTAGTGTTTAATCCATTCAGCTTTCAATTAACAGACTACAAACTCACACACATTTCGATTTGAACAGTTTTATACCATCACTCCCCTTTACATAATCACTGTTATTCAAGGCTGAATATTTGGCTGTACATAAATTTGATTTTCAAGTTAGATAACTGTTACTATCTAGTTAAATATCATAACATCCGTCATCCATAATATATACAAACATAACTGCATTTGGTTTTCAATATGGAATGGAAAACCACTAAGAATCATGAGGTAATGGATGGAGCCCTCATCCTAATTCGGGAGCTCGTAGGGATGTTCCCTTAAACTCCACACGACAAACACAGTACCAACTAATATATTGTGAAGTTGAAGGGCTAAGTCTTAATAGTTTACATTTCTGACTGTGGTCTATTCATTATATTATGTAACTATCATTTACTACCATTGATGGTATCTGTGTGGCTTTCAATTTGGCTGAAGTAAACGAAGTTTCATCAGAATTTTGTAAATGCATTTCAAATTCAGTCATTGTTAAGATTTGGGTTCCCGGAAATTATTAAATTGCTTTATAAAAATTGTTAATTAATGTACAATCGTTCAGCGTACACAAGTTCTCGATGGTTCCTCACTAATATCATGCTTATACCATACCACTAATAATGAATCTAGTATTATTTTACTGTATTCGTCAATTGATTGATAGGTTACTCCGATTCCTACGTCCCCAAAATTCCAATCAGAACACTAACAGATTAAATAACTGATTACCAGTACGAACATTATTTGTAGTCACAACTCACGTTCTTATATAGATAAATTACAAGATCACAACGGATAGTTATTAGCAATCCTCAATAGGTACACCCTTAGAACATTTGTGATATAAATCTGATTAATAGCTGTATGATTTACTAACTATCATTAATCGATTGACAGAAAGCTTTCCAATCGTTAATGAATTGAATGAAAGCTTACAATTAAGATAATGTGAAAATGCTATGAGCCAACTATTTAGTAAATACGTAAAAAGTATGTCGGTTGATTTCCGTAAAAATTGTTTTCCGATCATCATAATCTCTTTTTCACGTTTCTTCTTAACAAGTTAAAGAAAAAATTCACTTTGTTCGTTTTTTTTTTTATATTTGTATCTCTTTATGTCCATTTAAGATATGATAGTGGATTAAAAAGATTTGTTGAAATCAATTCCACATCACATATGTCAACTATTATCGATGCCATACAACTACATGGACGACCACGTAACTATTCTACAAAATCGTATGCAGCACAAACAACAAATTCAACTAAATGTCCTCTACATGCAAAATAAAGACTTTTAAAGTAAAAATCAAACTAATTTATAAAAACAAATGCATTCACATTACATTACATCACTTGTTTCGGTCACTATCTGGTAAATTAAATAAATGTTATTACACTAACAAATAAACCAAACAAACAGAAAAACACGTAACATGGAAGAAATACAAATAAATAAGAAATGTGAAGTGTTCCTTCTTTCATTTTTATTTAGATTTATTTTTCTTATGTCAATATTTTTTCCTCAGTAAAATATTCAAGTAATCAGAAGTGTTTTCTGTAAATTTAAAATGTAATTTAGTTTAATTATAGAATGAAAATTCATGGATTATAATCATGAACATGATACCTCGAAATAGCTTGAAGAAAATGTTTAGCAACATTCATTTATATAATTTAGTTGTAAACATGAATTGGATGCTAATTGAAGTTAGTTTCAGTCTCTAAATAATCATGGATTCAACTTGACCTCATTAATTTACCATAAATATCATTAAACATGTGAAAAAGGTCAATTTTGAGACCGTCGGTTAAAGAACCTAAGTAGGATCTGCACTTGATTAAGATTTGATGAAATATCAATCAACTGTTTGTTGGTCTATTTTTTCGACTGTCAGCACCTTCTTTAAAAAAAGGATCTAAACTAGGAATCGAGACATTTAAATCTATATCATTATTATTATTTATACTAGACTTATCTCGTCCCGATGTTTTTGACTGGATTTCTGTACATTTTCAAGTTGATCTAATAATTAGTTACTGCACGTGAAACCTATTAGTCGTACAACAACTTTGATGATACTTGATTCAGTATCATTGTTTTCGTAAACATCATCTAACTACAATTGATTTTCGTCTTACACAACAACAAAAAGTCCAAATAGATAGTGATAAAACAATACAAACTCAATTATATACCGAAATAACAGAAGTCTATTCTTTACTGATGATAGCACCATGCACCTTTTATTGGAAATTACTAAAAAATAACAATTTATCCATAAGAACATAAAATGTTAGAATTTCCATCGAGAATATGACAAACATTTGAAAATAGGATTGTCATATTATATATTATGAATCATCATTTCTTGTGATGGCCATTTCCCACATTGATGATGATTGATGTTAAAGATAATTTGTAAAATCAACGTTTCCTATTGCACTTGACTTTAGACAATTTTGTGAAGTTCCCCTGGACAAACTAACTCCCAAATTGCGTTTACAAAACCTTAATTTATAAGATTAGTATAAACAATTTCGTAAAACAATATTTGTGAACTGATGAAGCGGGAATTAAACTCTTATCACAAATTAGTAAAGAATTTTTACATCGTTAAGTCTCAAATACTTTTTTACCAATATTCATTGTTTTATGGATGATTGTAACTCTATTTTAGATGCAGTTTTATGCTTAAACGATTGTGTAATGACAGGATTCTAAATTATTATTCATTAAAAAGTTTACCAGCTTTTATAAATCATAACTGAAAAGCTTCAAATACAATTCTTGTTACCTTTTTCAGATATATTACTGAACTCAGATTGTTTACAAATTCACAAGTTTCCATTAGTCAAGATTAAAATACCTCGACATAGACATGGTGTGCAAGCTTAAAAAGGTTTGACTAGGTAGCTATGGAATTCAGGTTACACCTCTTTCTAAACGTTTTCGCTAGAACAACCGAGCACAACCGTCTAATAAGTTGATTCCACTACAGTTGATTTACAACATACAAAATGAAATCTTACAATTGGCCCATAACCACTAACCACGCTACTTGTTTATACGTTTTTTTAAAAATGAAAATCACAATTTACACTGAGAAATAAAGAATTTAATCGATTTACCGGTATACATGTGTAGAAATATATTTCAAAGAACAGACAAAAATACTGGCAAACCCTAACAGTAGAGTAAGGTACAATTTGTGTCATTTTTAAAAGCTGAAGAAAAAGGGAAATTGAAAGGGGAATCGAGAACAATTGATAAGCTATTCGACATAATGCTCATATGAATTTCAGAACAATTTCATTGATCAGTAAGAACGATTATGAAACTAAGACAAAGATAACTACAGCGAATTAAAGATTTTGAAAATTTATTCAGTTTAAAGGTTCAGAATGGTTTGTAAAGTTCACTGAACAGAAAGTATATGATACATTAAAGCGTGAAAAGATATGCAGATTTGATGTACTTAGTAATGTTAGATGTCAATGCAAAATTTCGGCAGTATTTCATTTATTGTAATACTATTCCAATCTGTAAAATGATTTTAATAGAATAAAAGAAATAAACAATCAGTACATTTAACAAATAAAACAAACACAATAAATGAATAGTTGTTTCATTATTTTGAAAAAATATATCAAACTAAGGTAAATGGGATATGAGAAAAAAATTAGGCTGAACAACAAGGTCTTAAATGAATCGAGAATGAGTGACCTGAAAATATGATTTCCCCCAAAGGCATCTAATCATATTTATTTTTCCGTTAATACTTGTGTATACATATGTGGTTTATTCAATAAAGGGAACATATTCTGATAATTCCGGTAAACTGAATTGAAATGTGAGAAGAAATTCAAGTTCTAGACTCGAACTTAGCACTAGATTTAATATCCGACTAAGTAGGTTTTCAAAATAAATGAAGTATATATGTACATAGTTCTTAGTAGTGCAGCAATTGTGAAAATACCTATTACACCTAACTGAAAATTTATTTTCAACTATTTAGTCCTTTAAACATTTTGAGTAGTAAGACCTCTTTTCGAACACTAGTGAAGGTCAAACTAAACAAGTTATATAATCATGTTAAATACAAGGTGATGTAATAAGCTCCATGTAAATATCTACTACACCTTTGAACTCATTTAATTTAAAGATACTTAGCTTTTAAACATTTAGACAATTTGTATTAACAAATCATCGTAATTTATATCACTACACTCGAAACAATAATCCATGACCGAACTTTTGATATCGTTATTGATAATTATTTCTTATCCTACGCTACTTATTCTTTTCTTGATTCTATCTACCCTAAAACCTGATTCCAGTATGGATCAAATACTAGTCATTTCTACACTTACAGACATTAACAGATACGAAGTGTTAAAAATTGTATTAATCTTAAGACTATTTTGCTGGGATATCAGAATTAGAATGAAAACTGTACAATTTGTGAGGAGTTTGATGTACAAAATATTCTTCATTCATACATCATACATGAATGAATACTTTGAAACAATTATACTTTCCCTTATTTGAACTTTACGAAACGTATGTATTAGTTTTAAGCTGTAGCAAATCTTCCAATCACTCAAGTATTCAACATATATAATCACTTCAATCTGTACAACAACGCGAGATATTAGAGCAAAACAACCATGGAGTGTCGTCTCGCATGAGATAAGTGTGAAATGTTATTTATTTATTTTTATTTATTTTAACACATAGATATTGGTACAAGGAGGCACCAAATACACATGCGCCACACAAATCTCATTCGATATGTGTGAGGGCTGTGATACTGCCCGGGTGCCCAGACCAAAACAGGTGGTTTTCTTAGGGGGCCACACCCCGAGCCTTCGACCTAAAGGTCTAACCCACAAGGCAGTGGAGCATTGTGAGGAGATGCATTCCCATGGTAGCCGGTGACCAACGACTGGTTCATACGCCATTTGTTCCCTTAGGATACTGGAGCCCATGTGCACCATTGGTCTGGGATCCGGTTAAAGCGCCGGACATTCGCCTTTCGTCCTCTCATTTTCGTAAACAACACCCCCGCCACGATAAGGCAGTGAGTAGGACTTCCCTGGCAGAGGCTGTATACGCGTGGCCATCTGAGAGCATTTCGAGACTATATACGCGTCGCAGAGGCTATACACGCGTGAAACGTACATCGACATACAACGATATCACACAAGTAAATGAGTACCTAAATTTTTAAGTATGAATCTGCTGAATGACTGAAGAATATTTACTAACTCGAGAGTTATTTATATAGAAATCTATAATATTATGATCAACATAGAATGTAAAACACTTCAATCAGAACTCAGTGTGGTATTATACATGAAATTAATTGAACCTTTGTGGTAAGATTACAAATGAATGAAAACCGTTTCTTCTATAGAATGTAAAGTTTATCTTGATTTAAACCATTGTTTTTGAAGAGAGAATGAGTTGTGATGTCGTTGTTAAATGACGTGCAATATTTACCAGTTTGGATTACCATTACTTTGACATTAGCATTTTTCATAATATTACACCAAAAATAAACTTTTATTAATGTATATAACGCCTGTGAACTTTAACGATATAAGAAATACAAGAATTAAGGAAAGAGAAGGCATGAATAAAATTTTATCACGGTGGTCTATTTTGAGGAATACAATCTAATATCTCCATAAACTTATTAAAGTTGTCGAGGTAACCTTCAAGATGAACATTTAGAGGTCTCACAAAACGTTTACATGAAGCAAAAGAAAGCGCTTCGAATACAAATCAATTGAATAGAAAAGACAACAGAGAATATTAAAAAATTAACAAACCTCAGAGGGCTTAGTGAATGGACAACGCCAGTTATACAAATAATAATGTAGATCACCGTCTCCAATGCCGAATTTTAACTCTTCCAGGAACTTTCCATTCTCCATTAGATCCAAAGCATTGAATACGTCAAACTTTAACTGTAAATTATAAGAGTATTGATACACCATAGTGAACAAATGAAGTGAAAAACATGAAATGTACTAAAAGTAAACAACCCAATGTAAATCTTAGAAAATTTTCAATGAATCGATTGAAAACAATAATAAAAAGTTGGAGACGTCATAAAAAGTATTTGGAAACAACTAAAACTGAAAACAATAATAAAGGAAAGGCTATAGACTTTTGCAGTTTGGAAGGTTGATAATTTTCGTGATAAAGAACATAACAAAACGATCAAAAGGTCAATACATGAAGAAAACTATGAACTGAGTCACGAAATACATGCTTGTGTACTCTGTGAACTAATCTTTAGTTGTATGGGGCTCATGGATACTATTTAGCTTTTCAAATTGAAGAAGATAAAATGATGTGTGTAAGATTTACTGATTAAAAGTTTCATAAAGTTGTTTTCCTTCGAAAGTTTAAATAAAGCAAGAATGAAACCGATGGATGTATGAAAGTTAATAAGTTTGATTATTTTAAATTATTAACATAATTTTTAAAAAATGAACCGTCTAACAATAAATAAGACATCCTAGAACTACCACTTTTATCATTTATAAAAACCTGTTCAAGTTTAGTGTATAACTACATTTAAATGTAAATCTTTGCTATTTATTATTATCATTATCATCATCAGCTTCATTCAATATAATATTTTTGGTACAATATAGAATTCTCAGCGTAAAGTATTTCAACAAGTTTCCGTTTCTTTCTTCTTGGTCGGTCCTGGCGATAAATATTGAGTGATCGCCAGTTAGATGCTAGCAGTTCAGTAAATGAACATCTGAATAATGTGCAATCTTTTCGCTGTATATTGCCAGCAACCACATTGTCTCTTATTGAGTTTTTTGTAACTTTGACAACAAAAGGTTGTACACTTTTCAGAAACGCAGCAGAATAGGTCATGCGATTAATAAACATAATATATTAAAACAAACAAAAATATATAACTTGTTGAAATATCTAGATGGCAGGAACAGGTAGCCCAGAAGCTCAATTCATCTTCTCAAATTGTATTTTGCAATCTCTTTTTGCTTTATGTGTGTTAAGTGAGACTATAATCTATGGACGAACCAATCGCGTATAAGATAACAGGTGTCGGGTTTCGGTGCGAAATTCACTCATCCATTTGAATAAATGGAGTTTTGGCATTAGAGCTGATGTTAGTTCGTGATGAAAACCCGAAATCTAATTCCTAACCTTAATCATCAACCGTAAATTCTAATTCTAATTCCTCACACAGGTTTATAACACTCATTTGGTCTTGGTTATTAGGTGGATGCTCTGAAGGTCAGTCTAGCGTCCCTCAAAAGTCGTCCATAAATTATAGTCTCACCGTGCGTTACTCATGAGTAGCTTGCGTTTCATTGTCTTATCAAAAACTGTTGGCGGAATATAAAGCACGTTCCGTGTAGGATTATGTTAGGGGGCGCGGATTAGCTATTTCTTATCCAATCAGCGCTAGTGGATATTTGGAGAAAACTAGAATCTTCTCATGCAAAATCTATAAATATACTAACGTTTTTCTGATTGTGATTCCTACTTCTATCTACCTTTTGTTATTTGAAACATAGTCTCGTTCCTCTTCAACCGTGTTCTGATTTGGTGATTTGTCTAGTGAAGTAGTGTGCAAGAACATTAAGCAATAGGAGTAGCTGGGTCTCAATAAGAAAAATTATAACAAAAACTAACAGTTTTCTTATCTGTTGACACACCTTTTATAAGTTCGGTCATGTTGAACTGGTCACTTTTGTGGTTATCAGTTTTGAGAGTTGACTGTTGTTATAGAGTTTATCATATTGAATATGAGTTCCTCAACCTAACATAATAATTATTTTTTGTAAACCCAATTATTTATATATATTCATAAATAAATATTTCAAGAAGCCAAAATAATCTTTTAACTTTAATCAGCGTAGGGTACGCTAATCCGGTAAATCATACAAGGTATTCGTAAGCTGTAGTCCAATGGTTAAATTCCATTAATTTTAACTAGTAAACTAAAATAAGACCGTTATTTCATGTACACAAACACAGTCATAATCCAATTTATTTAGAGGAAACTACTATAAAATTTATGATGTACAGAAAGATAATTAATGGATGTAGCCAGTGATAACTATCGGTAGGGAATCGGTAGTGAAACTAAAAAATTATCTGAATAAAAATTCACCATCATTTTAACGTCAAAACATGTTGATCCAGACACCTGAGTTTATCTTTATATTTTCTGTACAGCTTCCTGAAGCATTAAAGAGGGGAGATATTTCTTTAACAACATATATTATCCTCAATTTTAATTAATATAAATGTATACCAGACATATATTTACATATCTAACAAGAATATATATGAAGACTTACTTGTTTGGCTGAAATCAACATATCTTGAATTAATGCAGGCCATGGTGTTACCGTAGAAACATTGTAAAATGAGTAGGCCGCGCGAAGGCTATTGTGTTGTTTGCTTTTCATGACTGAACTGGGAAGGACATAGAACGAACAGAAGTCTGTGATTTGCCCATCTCCATTCTAAAATTAAGTGAAATAGAAAATTAAACCAATGAACATAATCAGTGTCGGATAAATATGTTTCGGCTTTTCGAAATTGCAAAATGAAGTTAAATTCTCTCACCAATAAAATTAACGTTTATAGGTACCAATGAAGGATACATTCGGATGTTGTATTTATAAGTGCACAGCTTTTTATAGATAAACTAACAAAAGATTCACATTCTGCAAAAAGGTATGTCGTAACGAATTATTTGCTAATTTGTATATGATGAAATTAAAAAGCATTATCACATAGTAATGGATTGATAGCCCCCAAATGCCCTGGTATGGCCGAGAGTGAGGTGGGAAATATACTCTCACACGGCCACGCGTATACAGCTTCTGCCAGGGAAGTCCTACTCATTGCCTTATCGTGACAGGGGTGTTGTTTACGAAAATGAGAGGACGAAAAGCGAATGTCCGGTGCTTTAACCGGATCCCAGACCAATGGTGCACATGGGCTCCAGTATCCTGAGGGAACAAATGGCGTATGAACCAATCGCTGGTCACCGGCTACCATGGGAATGCATCTCCTCACGATGCTCCACTGCCTTGTGGGTCAGACCTTTAGGTCGAAGGCTCGGGGTGTGGCCCCCTAAGAAAACCACCTGTTTTGGTCTGGGCACCCGGGCAGTATCACAGCCCACACAAATATGGTGTGGCGCATATATATTTGGTGCCCTCTTGTACTAATATTTATGTATTGAAATAAAATAAAATAAAAAATTGGATTGATAACGCCTTTCATTTTAATTCTTCTATCACTAATGCTTATTAACTAATATTATGCAATATAACTGAACGTGTAATGGATGAGAACCCATGAAATAAAAATCAATTCATGTTATTCTGCTACAATTTGTTCTTGCTTTATTCTAATTCATAAATGGAACCAAATTATAAATGATCACATAGTTGAAAGTAAAAAGCAAAGTAGAAAAAATACATAACATTAAACAAATATGAAATAATAATAGATATTCACCTCAACTATGAAAGAATACACAACATCATCTCGAGGAACAAAGAAATGCTGAAATTCTTCTTTTGTAAAAATTGGATGAATATTAAACTTTTCCAAGTACTAAAGCAGTGAACCAATCAACAAAATGAAGAATATTTTTGAGAAAAAAAAACAGAAATCAAAATTATAATAACACTGAATTATGGGGATTTCTTTAAAAAATGGCTACATTTGAACAGTACGAATTTTTCCTATCATCTTTTCTTAGAACCTCATTATTGCATACACCTTTCTGTATCAGTTGCTAAGACATCTGTATGTAGGGAAACAATAAATTCATAATCTACAGGTTAAATGAGTAAATTATTAGGACGGGATTTACAAGCACTGCACACACTACAGAGCTAAACAATAACAATTACTCCTAGTTAATAACGAACACGAAGTTTTTGTGAAATATTAGGCTATACTACTTCACCGTTGGAAAATACACCAATAAGGGAAGGAGGTTTCTAATAATCACCATTTTAAATTTTGAAACCGTATGGGTACTTTTTAGATCCGACGCCCTAAACTCGTGACTTGGACGGGGCTGATTTTCAAGGAAAACTTAAAAAGGGCATAAATCACAACTCCCTATCTTGTATTATCGTCATTTGGAACATGAAGGGAACCTTCGACGTTTCAGTAGTTTGGAGGCTAGGTTAAGATTTATTGGAGGTATAGAAAAAATTCTGGCTGAAGACTATGGCGCTGAGTTTACTTATATGCACCTACAGACGTGTTATAACATGTACTTTCGGTGTTAACGATGTAGCTACTACAACAAAATGCACAAGACTTCGTAGTTATCCCATTTTTCTACAATACTTCATATACTACCTCCTAAATACAACTCTATACTTGCAAGGTATGACTATTATATGTATTCAGAAAACAGTCGTATATTCAAAAACGACATCACTTTTGCTGATGCGTTTTGCTTATATTTTATTCTTCAAACTACTAGCAGCTTTATGATAGATGTTTATTCGGAATAATTGATGAGCTATGTCTTTTGAAGTAATAAACTCTTATTTTATTAAGTGTTGCTTTTATAGAAACCTGGTCATTTTCAGAATACAGATGTAATTAATAAAAATTCACCTCAGATAATAAAGGCCATGCTTTGGGAACATCTTTTTTTGTCATTTGACGAAAACCTTTGACAAGAGGAGCTTCAGGTAATCTGTATAGTTTAATTGTTCGTTGAAGAGTCATGTTGTGAGTAAGATGTGAAAATCCACATTCAAGAAGTTTACGTGGATTGAGAGGACGATGCCAATATCTAGGAAAAGTAGAGAAAAACTATCTACTGAATATAACTATCAGCAAAAATCTTAACTCGTTAAACCGGCAAAAAAAATAAAGAGCCATATCAGGTAAGCAATATAGCTTCGATAACTTACAATCAATGAATGGAAAATAGTGACAACAACAAAAGTTTTAATAAGTTTTAAAAAATTATAGACCTGTTTTAGTAGTGCAAACAAGTGTTTTTAGCCAACCATTGTAGGTGATCTTAACACCGAAGCAAAATAACCGTTAGCAGTCTAGATATATCTCAACTTTAATGGGGAAACCCACTATCTGGTGTAAAGCATAATGCTAATTATACATCAAAACTTCTATAAATCTAAAGATTTATTAAATACATAGCCATGAAATTGGGCAAAAATTTGCTAGAGAATAAATTGTTTTCAATTAATTTCCTTATTGGTCTGTAAACTACACCTCCGGATAGTTTAAATTCTGCAAAATGTGTGAATAGATCTTTAGTATCAAAACTACATACTGATTACGATTAAATGCAACAACACATTCATTGAGGACAAAATAGATATTTGGCATGCTACTGTCCTTATCGACCAATCAACCTAAAGTTTACTTGTATGAAAATACCTTTGGATAAATTAAATTTTGAAGGCAATAAAACTGTGAAACATACCGACATTTGCTGACTGGTTTTGGAAGTAAAGTTCCACTCGTAAACAAAGCCTGAAATCTCCCACGTAGATGAACACGACGAGTTACTTCTCGAATCAGTACAGGGGCCATACGTTTAGAACGTAATTTTTTATGGACACAAAGATAGTTGACTTCAACCAGCTGTTTTGCTCTGAGGTAGAAATTAAGTATAAAACAAAAATAAAAACATAGGTATGTTTTCCCGGATGCCTTAGTCGCTTATATGTGGGGCTGCGGTTGGCTCATTCAATAAAATTTGCGGACGTAAACGAAAAAATCTAGAAACACAAGACACCATAACTTAAGAACCCAAAGCACTGGACGATTTCAACATTTAGACAGAACATCCTTGTTGTAGGATCATCTTAGAATCAATTTGTGTGGAATAAACAAGCTTTATATAACTCAAAGATATCCATAAAGCATAAAACGTAAAACTATGAGACAGATAGATAAAATAATATAGGACCATGCAAAAATATTAATCAGACAAGGTTGTTGCTTTTTGCAACAGCACGAAAAGAGAAAAATAATTAGGCTGAAAGAATAGTAGAATAAACAAGATATGTAACTAAAAGAGGAAAATAGATGATGAGTTAGAAAAATATAAAGATCTAATCGATCCGCACCATTGCGTCAGGTTCCGAATCATATCACTTATAGTCTTTACCTACTAATTCTTTCTATCCTTCCAATACGAGTCAAATCAATAAGTCAATAGCTTTACGAAGTAGTGCATTTCTTAGGCTGGCTACTCAGAACAAAAAGGCAACTCAATATTTTATACAGTTCTTTGACTTTCAGCAATAGTCTATATAATGCCAACTGATAGCAAGGTCAAGTAACAAACCTAGGGAGAAGATACAAAATCGCAGTCATCTATAAATGATAGACATCCTGAACCATTAACCAGAACCAATCACACGAACATAAACTAATGTCCAACTATTCCAATTCACCTATGTTAGGATAAGAGATATTAGGTACATGGCTCAGATTCGATCACAATGACGTAGGTGTATACACTCTCTGTCTTCCCTTAAACTATGAGATTAAAATTGCTTTATATCTTTCTTTCTACCAACCAATTCTTTCTTTTATATAATACCACTATTAAATTAACTACTTCTATGAATTCGGTGTTCATCTTGTTGTGCTAATGAGGTATGGCCTTTTTCGGAGCACAGATTTTGTCCCCAAATGCCCTGGTATGGCCGAGAGTGAGGTGGGAAATATACTCTCACACGGCCACGCGTATACAGCTTCTGCCAGGGAAGTCCTACTCATTGCCTTATCGTGACAGGGGTGTTGTTTACGAAAATGAGAGGACGAAAAGCGAATGTCCGGTGCTTTAACCGGATCCCAGACCAATGGTGCACATGGGCTCCAGTATCCTGAGGGAACAAATGGCGTATGAACCAATCGCTGGTCACCGGCTACCATGGGAATGCATCTCCTCACGATGCTCCACTGCCTTGTGGGTCAGACCTTTAGGTCGAAGGCTCGGGGTGTGGCCCCCTAAGAAAACCACCTGTTTTGGTCTGGGCACCCGGGCAGTATCACAGCCCACACACACACAAATATGATGAAATATCGATAGTTATGGAAAATACTTGTCTTGCTTCGATTAACAATCAAACGATTCAGATTATTATTATTTACTACGTCATTTATTCACCCTTTTTTATTCCCATTCTGTGTATACTTGTTTTTCGACTTATACAGCAGCTCGCCTGTGGTGGAAATTCGGCTCTATCTAAACGTTCTCGAGTCACTGCCTGGTTGGAAATTGTATGCTACCACCAAGTACGAGTACTGAAGCAGTTTTTCTGAAACCACGTGCACCATTCAAACTGGCTGCCTTCAACGTTCGCACACTTATGCAGGTTGGACAACAGATAGGGGTGGCTATGTCTTTGGAAAGTCTTAATATCGATGTTTGTTGTATATCCGAGACCCGTATTCAAAACTCTGGTGAAGTACTACAAATTCGCTCTCCATCTGTCGCTTCAAAAGGCTTGTTTTACGTGCGCTTATCCGGGGACCCTGTGGCATCTTCGTCTGGTCTTGCTGGCGTTGGTGTCGCACTAAGCGCTAGAGCTGAGGCAGCACTAGTCGATTGGATCCCCATTAACAGTCGGTTATGTGCTGTTAGATTAGAAAGTTCCATCAAAGTGAGAAGAAATCGGCGTGAGAAACGATGTCTTTTCGTCATCTCCGCCTATGCCCCGACAGATTGCAGCCCGGATGCAATCAAGGATGAGTTTTACCACCAGTTATCTGTTCTTCTCCAGAAAGTGCGTTCGACAGATATTGTAGTACTAGCCGGAGACTTGAATGCTCAGGTCGGGCGTCTAGGCACAGAAGAGAGTCGTTTAGGTGGCCGATGGGGACTTGTTGGTCGCAGGTCAGATAACGGGGACCGTCTACTGCAACTGTGCACAGACCACAACCTGTTTCTGGCTAGCACTAACTTTCGGCACAGTCATCGCCGATGTGCCACCTGGCGTCCTCCCTCTGCATCTCAAGCCTGGACTCAGATTGATCACATCGCGATCAGCTACCGCTGGCGTGGTTGTGTACAAGACTGCCGCTCCTTTTGGAGTACCTATCTGGACTCTGACCATGCCTTGGTCTGCGCCAATCTTACCTTACTTTTCAGTGGCCAACGAAGTGACCGCCACCAACGGATTGATGTTAGCAAGCTGGTTGCAACTTCTGTTGCAAGTAAGTATCGAACCGAGCTAGCCTCTAGGCTAGCTACCACTCCACCGAAAAGTATAGATGAGCATTGGTTGCAATTGCATGACGCCATGAAAATGGCGGGAACAGTCAGTTGTGGGTTTGCGAAACGTCCCGCTTATAAGCACTGGGTTTCTTCTGGTTCCTTACAACTCATTGAAGCCCGTCGGTCTACTCCGGGTGACCGTGAGTTTGACCATAAACGAAGGATGTTACGTAAGGAAATTGGGCAAAGCTTGCGTAAGGACCGAGAAGCCTGGTGGTCGGAGCGTGCTAATGAGCTGGAAGCAGCAGCTGCATCTGGTAATTACCGGAAGCTCTTCCAACTCATCCGAGCCACTGGCAGCAAGAAGTCTGGTGTGAGTGAAACAATCTGCGAGGATGATGGGATGCCAATCACTAACATCCATCGACGTCTTGGACGATGGGCAGAATTTTTCGAAGGGCAGTTCAACTGGCCTGCTGCTCCGGCAACATCGGTCAGACTGTCCTGCCCTCCATGGCCGGTGACGACTGATCCACCAAATGAGGCGGAAGTCCGCAAGGAACTCCAACTCTTGAAGCGTTACAAATCACCTGGCCCAGATGACTTACCTCCGGTGGTGACTTTCTGACTAAGGAATTGACGACGTTGTTTACAAAGGTTTGGGAACTAGAGAGTGTACCAACGTCATGGAATGAGTCGATAGTTGTCCCTATCTTTAAAAAGGGTTCACGTCGTTCCTGTAACAACTATCGGGGGATAAGTCTACTTCCGATTGCGTCCAAGCTATTGGCTTCCGTCATACTTCGTAGGTTGTTCAAAACCCGAGAAAGATTGACTCGCGAGGAGCAGGCTGGGTTTCGTTCTGGTCGAGGATGTATTGATCATATCTTCACCCTCCGCCAAATGTTAGAACACCGCCATACTTATCAAAGGCCAACAATCGTAGTGTTTCTTGACATCAGGGCTGCCTTCGATTCGTTGGACAGGACTGTTCTCTGGGATTGTCTATTGAAGAAGGGTGTGCCTGAGAAGTTTATTAACATCCTAAAGGCCCTATATACAAACACCTCAGGCAGAGTGAGGGCATACAACCACCTCTCTCCATTGTTCCATTCGAGCAGTGGGGTTAGGCAGGGTTGCCCAATCTCACCATTCCTCTTCAACTTTGCCATCGATGACATTCTGGAAACAGCTCTGATGAATGTAAGTAATGGTGGTGTGGATCTGTTGCCTGGAGAAAGACTTCTCGACCTTGAGTATGCGGACGATATTGTCTTACTGTGCGATAATGCCCAAGGCATGCAATCCGCACTTAATCAGTTGGCAATCAGTGTCCGTAGGTATGGTATGTGCTTTGCACCTTCGAAGTGCAAAGTACTTCTACAAGACTGGCAGGATTCTAATCCTGTACTCACCCTGGATGGTGAGCAGATAGAAGTAGTTGAGAAGTTCGTGTATCTGGGTAGCTGCATAAGTGGCGTGAGTGATGAGATCAATGCACGTATAGTGAAAGCCAGAGCGGCTTATGCCAATCTGGGCCATCTTTGGCGCCTTCGTGATGTTAGTCTGGCTGTAAAAGGTCGGATCTACAACGCGTCGGTGAGAGCAGTTTTGCTCTATGCTTGTGAAACCTGGCCTCTCCGAGTTGAGGATGTTAGACGACTCTGTGTTTGATCATCGTTGTCTCCGAAGGATTGCTGACATCCAGTGGCAACACCATGTTAGTAATGCAGAGGTTCGGCATCGTGTGTTCGGGCACAGAGACGATAATGCAATTGGTGTCACCATCTTGAAACACCGACTTCGGTGGCTTGAACATGTTTTACGAATGTCGTCCCAGGGAATTCCACGTCGTGCATTATTTGCCGACGCTGGAACTGGTTGGAAAAAGCGAAGAGGTAGTCAATGTATGACATGATGTCGTGGTATTAAAGAAAACTGCAAAGGGCTGGTTTCTGTTGGACCTTCGCGACTCCCTGGCTGGGTTCCTATAGATGGTGCTACACAGTGGCTAGAGACGTTATCAGATATGGCTCAGAATAGAAGCCAGTGGCGATCCTACTGTAACCTTCTTTTACTTTATTCATAGAAAATGGTTGTTTCTTCCTTAACCGGAAGATTTCTTTTGATTGTACCTTATCATTTCCCCCAGTATTACCAATATTATTATCATTATTATTATTACACTATCTTACATTAATCTGTTCGTTATTGTTCTTTTTTACGCTCCTTACCTTCTTTTTTTCTCTTTCCACTCTCATTGTTTTGTGTGGCGCATATATATTTGGTGCCCTTTTGTACCAATATTTATGTGTTCAGATAAATAAAATAATGGCGAATTGGACCGATGCATATATGTGCCTGGTCCTAGGTTGTATCTAACCGACTGATTGAGGTACACGTTTTGTGTAGATATGAAAAAGTCAAAAAAGGTGGATGAGCCTCTTACTTATCATATATCTGTAGGTGGCATGGAATAGCTGCTATAATCCAACCAGTTTTTTACTTTTAGTTACACGAAGTCCAACATGCCAATCTTTATGCCAACCAGGTGACTTTAAGATCCTAAACGAAGATAAATTGTATATAAAGACATTTTTAATGACATTAATACCAAAGAATAGAAATTAGTGTACTATGAGAATAAAGTTCATATGAAATATGAATTGTAATTATTTACAGGACCTAGGTGACTACAACTGGGACAGTCGCTGGACAGATATTATAATGCACTGGTCAGAACTTAAACATCGCGTGAACATACAACTTGAACGTGTTTTAAAAAGAAACATAGAAGTATAGCCACTGGAAAAAACAATGAAAATCTAACGAAACCTAAAATATAACTAGTTACTTAGAAGAAACTGGAGATAAATATTATATATTAACGGCGCATCTTGTTAAGAAGCACCAGAATAAGATGAGACAACTATCCATTACTCTCTGATTTGAAATGATTTCATGGCTGTCATATTCCATGACCTACTTATTTTGTTCACCCAGTTTGAAACACATTGTGTGAGAGCTAGTAGTAACAACCGGCTGCAAAGCCAGTGGGGTCGGGTTTGAACCTGGGACCTACTGATTGAAAGTTGAATGCTTTAATCACTAAACTTCACTTCGAATACTTTTCAGGGAGTATTACTAACCCTCATCAGAACTGTCTGCATGTACATAAACCTATAATTGGTAAAGAAGTTATATGAAATGACACAATGATGGGCGAAATAGACTTTGGTTACACTTACCACTGTAAGAAATGCTTGGAATAATCAAATCGGAAGAGATGATCATCGTCTTCAACATAATTTTCATACAGAAGATCATACAATTCTTGTAGCTATAAGTATTAGCAAAATGAAAAGCCAGGTAAATAAAAATGTCATAACGTACACCGAAACCAATCCATACTTTTCTTTGTAGTAAGTCATATATTATAGTAACCAGTCACATGTATTCAAGTCCGTGATATAAATGGGCGTAAATAACTGAGAACCTAAATCCTAAGTATACCGGTTTAGTGCGCAACATTTGTTATCAAAAAAGAAAGGTGAAAGGAAAAAGGGAAAATCTTGACATGGTTACAAATCTTAGGAATGAATATACCATTTTAAAGTATATCATTTGATGCGATGCTTTTGTAGACTGATACTGATCTGTAGACCTAACATCTGATTAAAAGCTACATACTAGTGTAGAAAATTCGAAGCATTTCAAATTTAATATCTTTACTAGCTAACATGGCATCGTCAACAACTATTGTTAGCACTCATCAAAGCATTCACTGAGTAATGTTGATGATGGGCTTCGCCAAACGCACCATATTGTTAGAGTACTCAATGAATAAGATACACAATGGCAAAACTACATTACCACCCTTTTGTATACTTAAAATCCGCAACTCTAGTAGCCGGAAGTATATGAATCGCCAGAACTGTCCCAAGAAAACCCTTTAGACTGTGCAGTTTGCTATTTGATGCACATAACTGCTGAACCGTAACGTATCCTATCGTCTTTTACCTCGAGAGACAAACAGACTACACTTGCAACCATATTAGCTTTAAAAGCTGTCAAAAATATAAAAAAGCTGGTCAAAATTTTAATTTTCAGGACCAATATAAATATAGGGATAGAAATTAATGATAAGCTGATTATTCAGTCTCAAGGTGGTGTAATTAAACAGAAGGAATACTTGGGGAATATTGTAGACTGTTATCAACCAATTTCTGCTTTCAAGAGTCATAAATGTAAATTGCAGCTTTTGATGCAGTTCGTGGTGAGAACTAAGGAATTCATATATTCGTACCAAGACGATAAAGTTATTAATAAGAATTGTATTTAGGTAAACTGAAGTGTTAATCGTAACCAATTAAAATTTCATACTTCGAAGAACAGCAGATAATAACATTACAATTGTTCAGAAAGTTGTCGAAAATGAAAACTTACCTCAGTTTCATCATCCAAAGAAACTTCACACCAATAAAATCCTTCGGGTAATGTATAAGGCTGTGAGCGGATATCTTCATGTTTTGAATCTGGTTCAATTGGACCGTTGTCAGTAATCTCTTCAGCTGAAAGGTAAAGCATAGATTAGCTTAACACAACAAACTATAGTTGTGCTATCCACTGGCAAATCTTTTACTGATATTTCGAGCACTATCTACAATTCGATCTTTCCAGACCGTAGCTGCTACCTTGACGCGGTGGTCGGGCTTACCTATCGTGATAACCCAGCCGAGCTATACTGGCTGGAATACATGTTCCTGTAGGTTCTACCACGTCAGGCAGATCGATTGGAGAACGGTAAGACTAAAAGCAGCAACCCAAGGTCTGAGGGTGAAGCCGTACTGCTGGCTGTAGAGGGGTGTGGCAGCAGTAAGCTGTTTCCTTCGGACAACCAGCATCTGCAGAGATACTGCCTTCTCACAATGAAGGAAGGGGTTAGAAAAGCTTGACCCTAAAAATGTCACACCTCACCATGCATCACGGATTTCCGTCTCCGGCGGTAAGGCCCTTTGAAGAACGGAGCTAGCACATTAAAAACCTCCCACGAAAAAGCCGTGCGCGACCGGCCTCAAGCAGTTGTCCCTTGGGCTCTGGGGTCACGCTTCCAGGTCGTCAAGACCAACACTAATCCAATTTCCTTTTCAGGTTCCTCAAGAAATACCCTTCCACGGTGTGGGCAGCCGGGAAGTGATATCAGCCCTCATACCCGTAACAGCACAAGAGACCAAGGTGGTCACATTCAAATCCTTCCTACACCTCCTAATAACTCTCTTATCCTCACGACTAACCCTCCTCACGTCTCTTTATCACCTCGCACCGCTAGGGCAAACGATTCGAGTACGTGGAACGCCATTCCTGGTCTCCTGAAACCACGCTCTAAACTACACGTAGGAGCTTTTAACGTACGAACACTTTGCCAAATAGGACAGCAGGCTTCCTTAGCTAGGACTTTAGAATCTCGCGCCATCGATGTGTGCTGCGTCTCCGAAACGCGCATACAGGATCCGAGCAGTGTCATTCATTTGACCTCACCATGCCAAAATAAAGAACCGACTCGATTTACGCTTCGTGTATCTGGAAGCCCTGATTCTGCTTCCCGTGGCCTCGCCGGCGTAGGTATAGCATTGAGTCCTAGGGCAGAACTAGCTCTCTTAGAGTGGATCCCAGTAGACAGTCGTTTGTGCGCTGTCCGACTGAACGGAACAGTAAGAATTCGGAAAGATAGGGACACTCGTCGTTGCCTCTTCGTCGTTTCTGCCTATTCTCCCACTGACTGCAGCTCAGATGATGTAAAAGATGAGTTTTACAGAAAGCTTTCGGACCTTCTCCGAAAAGCTACGCGCTCGGATGTAGTAATAGTGGCCGGTGACTTTAATGCTCAAGTAGGTAAACTAAGCGAAAGGGAAAGACACCTAGGTGGATCTTATGGTGTCGTGGCTCAAAGAACAGATAATGGCGACCGTCTGTTGCAGCTATGCTCAGATAACCGCCTGTTCCTTGCAAATACTAACTTTAAGCATAAGGAAAAACATCTTTTAACATGGCGACCCCCTAATTCGTCCCAACGTTGGACCCAAATAGATCACATCGCTATCAGCCACCGATGGAGGGGCTCGATAGAAGACTGTCGCTCATTCTGGAGCACATGCCTAGATTCAGATCATGCTCTAGTGCGAGCGCGTATTTGCTTGCGTCTTACTGGACGTAGGAAAGACCCTGCAAGGAAACCTCTTAGGGCCCTACTTAATGATAGTCAAGCTAAGAGTATATTTCAGGAACAACTAGGAAAACAGTTAGGCAGCCATGTATGTGATGCCCACCCCGATGCAGCATGGAATGATATCCGAAAAGCTGTGGAAACAGCAGTGATATCTGCTAGTAAGGTAAACCAGAAGGTTAGGGAGCAACACTGGATCTCAGCAGCATCTATCTCACTGATAGATGCTCGGAAACACATTCCACCTGGCTCTGAACATAATGAAGAGCGGAGTCAGCTTAAGCGCAAGCTGACAAGAAGTCTACGCAATGATCGCGAACAGTGGTGGGTAGCGAAAGCAAGAGAGATGGAAAAGGCAGCGGCAATAGGTAATAGCAGACAATTGTTCAGACTCGTTAAGGAAACCGGAATTAGGAACCCGACCGTTAGCGAAACAATCTCAGAGAAAGATGGACATATTATTCATTCTCAATCCAGGAGATTGGATCGATGGGCAGAACACTTTAGGGATCAGTTCAACTGGCCTTCAGCCACACTTCGGTTTCCCACGATCTCCAGTCAACCTGAATGGCAAGTTAATGTAGGTCCTCCGTCCCTTTACGAAGTTGAAAAAGCCATAGGAAATCTGAAACGAGGGAGAGCAGCAGGCCCTGACAGGTTTACTCCTGAGATTTTTAAGGATGGTGGTCCAGTATTAGCAATGAGATTAACTGAGGTCTTAGGTAGAATTTGGGAACTGGACGTAATCCCATCTGACTGGTCTCAATCACTGATTGTGCCAGTTTTTAAGAAAGGACAAAAGTCCTCTTGTGACAATCACAGAGGAATCAGTTTGACTAATATAGTGTCTAAAATATTAGCTTCAATAATACTTCGACGCCTAACTAAAGCTCGTGAAGAGCAGACTAGAGAAAACCAGGCTGGTTTTCGACCTGGACGTGGTTGTATAGATCAGATATTCACACTACGTCAGGTTCTAGAACACAGACACACATTCAGACGCCCCACAATGGTAGTATTTCTCGACCTTAAGGCGGCATTCGACTCGATTGATCGTGAGGTTCTATGGCAGTGTTTGTCACTGAAAGGAGTACCAAAGAAGTACATTAACCTTATAAAGGCTCTCTACTCGAACACAACTGGTCGAGTGAGAGCTTATGGCGAACTGTCATCAGAATTGATTACCTCAAGTGGTGTTCGTCAGGGCTGTCCACTCTCCCCATTCTTGTTCAACTTTGTGGTCGACGTACTTTTAGAGATAACACTCTCCTCATCTAAATTTACAGGGGTTGAACTTCTACCAGGAGGTTCACTTGTTGACTTAGAATATGCTGATGACATAGTTTTATTTGGTGAAGACGCTGACAAAATGCAGAGTCTTCTGACCACTCTAAGCAACAATGCAAGCATGTTCGGGATGCGATTCTCTCCCTCGAAATGCAAAATGTTGCTTCAGGATTGGGTTACATCGACACCCGAACTAGTGATAGGGAGTGAAGTAGTTGAGTGTGTCGACCGCTTCACTTATCTTGGAAGTCTCATCAGCCCTTGTGGTTTGGTGTGTGACGAAATCTCAGCACGGATACAGAAGGCTCGACTAGCTTTTGCCAACTTGCGTCATTTATGGCGTAGGCGAGATATCCGTCTATCAACCAAAGGACGTGTTTACTGCGCAGCAGTTCGTTCCGTCCTACTTTATGGCAGTGAAACATGGCCGGTAAGAGTAGAGGATATCCGTAGGTTACTAGTATTTGATCATAGGTGTCTTCGAAACATTGCTCGTATATCATGGGACCATCGAGTAAGTAACACAGTTGTTAGGAAACGGGTACTAGGTAAGGATGGCAAATCAATTGATGACGTAGTGAAACTTCATCAGTTGAGATGGCTGGGACACGTGTTACGTATGCCCAACGACCGACTGCCTCGACGTGCTATGTTCAGTGGTATAGGAGTAGGTTGGAAGAAAGCTAGGGGCGGCCAAACCAAAACATGGCACAAGTCCATGAAGTCACTGACAAGTGAACTGAGTCATGTTGGTAGGTGTAGACTACCTGGTTGGGGACCGCGAGATGACAGCAACCGATGGTTAGAGACCCTGAATGACATGGCTCAAAATCGTTTGCAATGGCGCAGGTGCATCCACTCTCTGTGTTCTCCCAAATTCTAATCTTCTGAATTCTTCATGTCCCTTTTTTTCCTCTTTCCAAATTTCTTTCACTGGATTATACTCTTTAAATAACATCTCCAAACCCTAATCTTCCCGATTACTGCTTATACTCTTATTACCTCTACCACTACGGGATTTGAATCGACAAGTGCATCTCTGTGCTAATGTGGTGTGGCAACTCGAACTGATGTACGTACGTACGAAGTTCTACGTTGTTACTGACTGACTGTTAAGGAAACCGGTATTAGGAACACGACTGTCAGCGAAACAATCTCAGAGAAAATGGACATATTATACATTCTCAATCCAGGAGATTGAATCGATGAGCAGAACACTTTAGGGATCAGTTCAGCTGGACTTCAGATACACTTCGGTTTCCCACGATCTCCAATCGACCTGAATGGCGAGTTAATGTAGGCCCTCTGACTCTTGAGGAAGTTGAAAAAGCTATAGGAAATCTGGAGCGTGGTAGAGCAGCAGACCCTGATAGGTTTACTCCTGAGATTTTTAAGGATGGTGGTCCAGTATTAGAAGTGAGATTGACTGAGGTCTTAGATAGAATTCGGGAACTGGACGTAATCCCATATGACTAGTCTCAATCGCTGATTGTGTCAGTCTGTAAGAAAGGACAAAAGTCCTCTTGTGACAATCACAGAGGAATCAGTTTGACTAATATAGTGTCTAAAATATTAGCTTCCATAATACTTCGACGCCTAACGAAAGCTCGTGAAGAGCAGACTAGAGAAAATCAGGCTGGTTTTCAACCTGGACGTGGTTGTATAAACCAAGTATTCACACTACATCAGGTCCTAGAACATAGACAAACATTCAGACGTCCCACAATGGTAGTATTTCTCGACCTTAAGGTGGCATTTGACTCTGTTGATCGTAAGGTTCTATGGCAGTGTTTGTCACTGAAAGGAGTACCGAAGAAGTACATTAACCTTGTAAAGGCTCTCTACTCGAACACAACTGGTTGAGTGAGAGCTTATGGTGAACTGTCATCAGAATTGATTACCTCAAGTAGTGTTCGTCAGGGTTGTCCACTCTCTCCATTCTTTTTTAACTTTGTCATTGACGTACTTTTAGAGATAACACTCTCCTCATCTAAATTTACAGGGGTTGTACTTCTACCGGGAGGTTCCAAATCGTTCGCAATGGCGCAGGTGCATCCACTC